CACTGCCCACGGGTGTGGGGTGGGAGGTGAAACAGGTCGAAGATGGAGCAGGTTGGAGGGAGCCCTCGGGGCGGACACTGGCCGGAACTGTAAGGAGCAGGAGGGGCGGGGCTCCAAGTGCGCCTTCTGGCTGCTCGGGGCAGGAAAGGGGGGTCGCGGTGGGCAGCGCGCCGTCCCCTTAGCTCGACGTGCCAACTTCGGAACTGAGTGTCCGCATCGCATCTGTTTTACCTTGTCTTTGCCGTGAGAAACCAAGGACGATTTATGTAGACTTCAGTATTTTCGACTCTACTATTTCTCCGCTCTTGGACTTATCTTAGGATGGTGTGATGATTCAAATGTCGTAGGAAAAGATTTAGAAAAGGAAGCCTTCAGACTAGATACTTTGCCCTTGCTACAATGGATTAATTTGTCTAACAGGACTTACTGCTTTTACTTTTTCTTTGCTTTTTTCCCCCCTTCCCTGAGAAACGTTCAACTGAAAAGCAATGAAAAATTGCCCGCTTTTATCCCTCCTTGATGGAACAAATTGCTTTTAAAAACCGAACAAGGTATTTGCCAAAGGAAGTCACAGTTTAACTGAAAGCAGCCTGAGGGAAAAATAACTTTCTGTCAAATAAAAATGTTGCCAAATGGACAAAGATCAATCTTAGGATCTCAATTTGGCAAGCACGTTACTGTTCCTTTCTCTCCCTCCCTCCCTCCCCCAAATGAATAAAAACGTATCCTCCAGTGAGGATTAAAAGTAATTTAAGCAAAATGAAACTGGTTTTTTTTAAACTACCCAAATTAAACCTTTCCACCAACTTAGGTATCTCTACCAAATTCGATTTCAAACTGAACAAAATATTAAATGCATCACTTCTCAGCACAGAATTCAGGTTAAAAGCAGCAATTTTCATTTTATGAAATAGAAGCTAATATTAGTATTAAGTGGATTATAGCAGACATTTACATTGTTTTCTAAATGACTTATGCCCTTCCCCATCTTCCACCCTCCACCCAGAGAGGGTACCACCTCCTTGGAGAAGACCTTCCACAGCCCCCATTCCAAGTGGAGCACTTGAGAGTTTCCCATAATCCTCTGTTCACGGCTGTTGTTATTTCCTTTACCGCATAGCTTTATAATCATCTGCTTGTGTCTGTTTCCACACCCTCCCTCTCGCCTAAGGCTGTAAGTTTTCGGAGAGGTGGCATTGTCTTCATGTTTTTCTAGTCCCAATACTTTGCACAGAACCTGGCACCCAAGAGCCTGGTAAATGCCTGGTGATGAATTGGGCGAGTTAAGGTACCCAGAGCACCTTCCAAGTCTGATAAGATGGTGTAACCTCAGTTATTTTGTAGCATGCTTGAGGCTTTTCCCAGTGGGAGGATAGTGGGCCCCGTGGAATACATACAGGAACCACCCATGTAGTAATTTGTCTGAAGACAAGAACCCTGGGTGCCCTAGGCTTTCAGAGTATTCCTCACTAGCAAATGAGAGCACCCAGCTCTACTCTGAAGCAGTGTATATTCAGTCTGCCGACAGTCATTTCCTTTTTTTCTGTGTGGCTAATCCTTTAAGGGGGGGGAAATCACAGATCTGAATCTTCTAGTCTTCTTAGCAATTCTATTTCTCATAGTAAATTAAAAAGTTGACATTGTAGTTATCAGCCAGGTCCCTTATGGTTTTATTTTCCCAGGACCTGTGTTTTCTGGTGGAAGTGATAAAATTGGCTTCTTGGTCTTGCAAAGTTGAGGACTGACCCAAGATCTGTGCCACATGAAAAGTCAGGCGGACAGGAAAGGAGAGAGGGAGAGAAACATTTATGTGAATCAAGCCCTCGACCTGGGCATGTGCCCTGATGGGCAACAGAGCCTGCAACCTTTGAGTGCAGGGACGATATCCAACCAACTGAGCCGCACCAGCCAGGGCCAAGGAGTCTTAAATACTAAATGAATGTTCTTTGTTAATAAACAAGGAAATAAGAAAAAAATTAAAGCACTTAATATCCTACCACTAGCTAACTAGAGATAGCTAGCTATAGATTGCATATTATATCCTTCTAGTCCAGGGGTGGGCAAACTTTTTGACTCGAAGGCCACAATGGGTTCTTAAACTGGACCAGAGGGCCGGAACAAAAGCATGGATGGAGTGTTTGTGTGAACTAATATAAATTCAAAGTAAACATCATTACATTAAAGGGTACGGTCTTTTCTTTTTTTTTAGTTTTATTCATTTCAGACTGGCCGGATCCAGCCCGCAGGCTGTAGTTTGCCCACGGCCGGTCTAGTCTCTTCTTTGCAAGCTTTGGGCAGTCTTAAGTTAGTCTGAATTTGCTTTGTTGAAGATTTTTTTGTATATTTTGGGTAACGGTCCTTTTTCAGATATGTGTATCTTTTACAAGTATTTTCTCCCAAATCTCTGGCTTTTTTCCTCATCCTCTCTATATTATCATTCAGGGAGCACATGTTTTTAATTTTAATAAAGTTCAGTTTATCAGTTCTTCCACCAGCATCATGCTGTCTTGATTCCTATAGCTTTATAGTAAGTCTTGACGTTGGGTAATGTCAGTCCCCCAACTTTGTTCTTCTTTAGTATTGAGTTGGCTATTCTGTGTTGTTTGCCTTTCCGTATAAACTTTAGAATGAGTTCGTCAATACCCATAAAAT